GTAGTCTTTATCTTTTCACTGCACCCCTTTTTATTGCACATCATAATGAGAAAGTCAAGAGCTCCTTAGCCACTAGTTCACTGTAACAGTCCATAGTMATTTGTGTGTCTAATCTGCTTTTCCACTCTCTTCCAAAGTAGAGAATGCTTTTTGACAAGCCATAACAGAGCTATGTCCGATGTCATTAGACAGAGGATAAAATTTGGCAAATACTGAAGTTGCCTTTATATAAGGCTTGCATGTCTCAYAGTGACATATTAAAAAACAAACAAACAAACCCCTAACTGGGAGATTACTTCTTGCATGTTATAAAAGAAAATGGCAGTTGAGCTCCAGTTATCTCTGCTGTCTTGAGGTGATATTGCACAATCTCATCATGAATGGTTACACAAACTCTCTCTTATTCCTCAAAGATTATGCAGATTTCTCTGGCCATTTCCTGACACAGTAAAAATACTCATTTTCYTGACCTCAACTTGCTCACTTGTTTTTCCCTGGGGCTGCAATCTCCTCTAAGACAGAAAGGCTGACATGTTTGCTGCCCCATTTCCCTCAGTGTTGCTCTTGAAAGAGAAGGCAGGATATAGGAAAGGGGGATTTTACAATTCCCTGAGAAAGACATTTAAAATGAGGCATTAAAAGGATGTTTAGGATATTGAAAGTATCTACAAGGTGCCTAGATGAACATTTATCAAACATGCTGAAAAAAAGCATCCTGAAAGGATTCTTTTCAAGGGACACACTTTGTTTGGAAGCTGCTTCCTCACAGGTGCYTTTCCCCTTGCCTCCACTGGCATAACTCCCTTTCTTTCTGCTTTTCCTTTYTCATCCCCTCTCTCTCTTCATATGCTTACCAAGTCTCTGTTATCAGCTGCAACAGAAAACTCTCCAAAGCTTCCTGGACTAGTATTCATCTACTACAAAATAAAATAAATAACACTCATTAGTTATTCTTTCTTTTTTTTCCCTTTGTGGTACATTTTTAAACTAGCTAAAAGAAACTCCACTAGAACGGTAAAGAGTTATGCAGAACTCAGTGCAGCTTTTACATAAATCACGAGGCCTTGCTGCATAATTTAGGTGTAATACAATTCACAGTTTGCAGAGAGTCACCAATACACTTAAATTCATCAAAGTTCAGTTCTCAAGGATCCCTTTAATCTGTGAGTGATTACCTAGCCCATATTCTCCCCAACCATTTGGTTTAACCACATATTTTAATTACATTCCTGAGTAACTTACATTCTTGGCTTTCCATTTCAATTTCCACAGGGCAAATAAAACTGATGGAAAGCATTTTGACAAGGGTATTGTTTTTTCATCCCGTTGCCTGAGATGACTCCAAATTTGGATATTACATTTAATGTTTCTGGAACAGATGCTGTTAGGTCTTTTCATAGGAACAGAGTATCATCTGCATATGTTAGAAGCTTCTATGCCTCAAGTTGCATACACTTTATATCCTCTTAAGTATCACAGACATTGSAGACTGAGGTACACGGGCACATCAAACATTTTTCATCACCAACTAAGAGAGAGGATGATCATGGAAGCTCRTGCATCAAAGCAGCAGGGGTACCTAATGAATGTATTTCCTGCAACAAACAGTGAAGGGGTGAGATACAGGTACTGATCTTTGTAGCTCTCTCAAAGCAGAGGCCCATGTGTAGAAAAGCTCCGGGCAGAATCTCACTCCCTGATGGGAGAGCTATAACAGATCAGGCAGGATTGCCCAGAGCCTCAGAAGGAGAGAGAGAGAAAGAGCRTTTCTGTCTTCCTGAACAGCTCAACTCCATCCCCTGTGGAGTGCAACACACTGTGACAGAACAGCRGTGACGCCCCATCTTTCTTTTATTTTCCCTAAGGGGAAGTAGCAGGTTTACATTTGTTCTTAACGCCAACCCTGGCAAAAAATATAACACTGGGGAAAAAAACGGTATAAGAATATGTATATGTGTACGTGTGTGTGTATAYTTTTTGGTGAGTATAGAGAAATTACTGATACTGCTTCTTATTCTGGCCTCCACTGTTAGATAATGAGACCTTTTCCATTTATGTAGGAAATCTTCTTAGGCTTCCTGAGATTCTAGAGTTGCTTCATTTAGGAGGGCAAATAACCCTTCACAGAATCATAGAGTGGCTGGCGTTGGAATGGACCCCTAGAGATCATCCAGTCCAACCCCCCCTGCTCCAACAGGGACACCCAGAGCACAGGGCRACACCCAGGCGGGTTTGGAAGACCTCCAGAGAAGGAGACTCCACAGSCTCCCYGGGCAGCCTGTGCCAGGGCTCTGGCACCCTCACWGTGAAGAAGTTCCTCCTCACAAAGAGATGAAACTGCYTGTGTTTCAGCTTATACCCATTGCCCCTTGTCCTGTCACTGGCCACCACTGARAAGAGCTTGGCCCCTTCCTGCCTACATTCTCCCCTCAGGTATTTGTACATATTGATCAGATCTTCCYTCTCAGTCTTCTCCAGGCTAAACAGGCTTGCTTAGTCTTTCCTCCTCAGACAGATGCTCCAGTCCCTTAATCATCTTTGTGGCTCTCTGCTGGACCCCTTCTAGGAGTCCTACATCCCTCTTGCACTGAGGACTTGCACTTCAGCTACTGCATTTCTTTGAAGTGCTCTGAATCATACCTCTCTCATTTTGATAATGTTTGATTGTATGGTTTGATTGACCAAGGTCAAAGGATGGGCTCACACAGGACTAACTCTCAGAATCGGAGAAATATGGGGCCTATGAGACTGCCTATTGTATGGTGAGAGACTGGAAACTCAGTAAATGCTCCATCCATCAGTTACATTTCCCTCTTGAAAAGGCAACATAAAAAAAAAAAAAAAAAAAAAAAAAAAAGGTAATTTCAGAACATTATTTCATTATTTAAAGTTATATTCATTTTGACTATATTTTTGCTTTCCCATTGCTGTCACTATACACACATACACACATATCTAGTATTTTGGTATGTAACCCAAAATGTTTTAACCTTTCCGTTGGGCAATGTCTTGAACAATGCACAACTACGTAAGTGCTTCATTTTCTAAACACTGAGGTCAGGATGGGGCAGGACAGGAGAAGCTCATAAATATCTTGAGAGGGTGACCTGTGAAGGTAAAMTGCCCAACCCCTCCTCTTCACAGAAACCTGAAAGCTACTGCCCAAGATCAGCACCTGTTTTTAAGCAAGGAGGGTTCTTGGTCAGGTGTTGTCCCTTTGAACCCAGACGTCTCACTGCTCTTGACTCCATGGGCAGGACGTTCACAGAAACCCTAACACTTGCAGTGGAGACGCATGTTCGATGCTTCACAACCACAGCTCCATGGACAGAGAACTCAGGTGAACACAGCGTTGAGGCTCATCAGCACAACAAGCTGAGCAAAAGACAATGGCAGCAAAAAGTCAACTGAATTCTTCAGTGGGGAAAAAAGGGGCATTTTAGTCACAAACGTAACGTTATTTTTGAGTTTGCAACAAAAGATTTAAGAGACTTATGAAGAACTACTGCATTCTGATGTGCTTAGACAAAAAGAAATCGTGCTACCTTTGTTGACAAGGTACAGAATCAATAACTATTTGGTAATTTTTCCAATATTTACACTTTATACCCCTTTATATTCAGAAAAAAAAAAAACTAATCTGCCTTAACAAATAACGTTTGTGACTTCAAAAACCTTATGATACATAATGATACACATGATACATATATACAAAACCTTATGATAYGTAATGATACACATAAAATGTGCAAACAAAATGGATGTGAAATACATAAACATATACACACACATTTCAATACATAAAATTCTTCTATTAGAAAATCCTCTGTCCTTTCAAAATATGGTTCCTTAAAACAACTATTGTAAGGTTTAGATACGGAAAAGACATCTCTGTGYTCTCTGTGCTAAGACAGGGACAAAAGGGCTGCTCTAAGACTTATGTACAACCTAACACTTAAAACTCAGTCCTAAGTTTTTACCCTCAATCTACAGACAAAACATATGAGAATTCAGTCTGCATGTGTGTTTTCGTGAGCACAGCCATATTTATCCACAGCGCTGCGCGGCAGATTGAAGAAGCTGGAGAACAGCCTTAGTATCTGCTCTCTGTGGGACATGCTCTCCTTGCACACCACAGATGTGACACACCAGATCATAACTCAGTGGATAAACCTCTTCTCCATACTGTCCATTTTGCTCATTATCACTGTAATTTTGTAACAGAATTCTCTGAGCACTGTGCCATTACTGGAGTTATTAATCATTCTGGTTCTGTTTCAAGCACGTGCTTCATCGCCTCCTGGATATACACTGCATTATGCCACAAACTGAACATCAAAGCTAAACACATCCAAATCTCCTGTTTTAAGGACTTTCCAGGACAACTTGCTCTTTCAATATATAGTTTGATAAAATATAAAAATATAAGAAAAGTTGGTGTCAATACAGCCGCTGACCTTTATGACTGCAAACAAAAGGCAGTTCTTGCCAGTAAACAGCTTGGCAAATATGAAACTTGTTTTGCCACTGCTTGGAATAGTCAGTGCTTAAGATGACAGACTCTGCATACAAATCAGCTCATACAGAAAAACACATTTCTAGACATGCTTGAGAAAAATAGCAGGATTTCCATGACCCTAGAAGCAGATACCGTTCAAAGTATTTACTTAAAGATATACTGTACTAAAACCAAAATAGCTTTTTTTTTAAAAAAATTGTGCAAAAACCACAACACAAGCCACTATTATAGGTTAAAAGTCAATTTCAGATCATTATGTGAAAATAATACAATGCTTCCCCAGCTTCAATAGGACTTCATAAGCATTATAAGACATATTCTGGATTTTAGGCTAAACTAAGTCAAGTTTTTAACTTCCTTTTCATTTGAGAATAGCTGGTACAAAACTGCAAAGTTGTAAATTCAGTTTACTTGGTTATCTACTATGGTTCATATACACACAATATATTAGAAAAATATGAATTAATCACATGTTCTTTAAAATAAACTAAAAAGCATCATATGGATTACATTATTTTCTTTAATTTAGCTACATACATTGGACCCCATGCTTTCCCCTTCTCTGGGAGAACCAGAAGTTCATGCTGTTGTGTACCACTGAGAAGTGTGAATTCCTGGGAAACAGCTTTGCCCATATCACTTATATCTACAGGCAGAAGATTACTGCATGAGTTTAGAATGAGATTTATCACATCGCTGTTTTCTGCCTTTGAGAAAGTGCATGTGGAATAGACCAGTGATCCACCAGGACRCAACGCTTTAACAGCAGACCTGCAAACAATAAAGAAAATAGTCAGTGTAAGAAGTGAGATGGGTGGTAAGACTTCAATTCTAGCTAAACATACAGAAGAAAAAAAACAACTTCATAAAACACTCAACAAAGAATATAATTGACAATTCAGGAAACATATATATGCTTTCTCATTTATTTTTGTATTTTCAGTTAACTGAGGCTATTTTTATAAAGCAACAACATGTAGGAAGTAGGAAGAATCCATTCAGAGCTGCAGAATGTGCTTCATGCACTCGTACAGGCTACACAACAGGGAAAATGCTGCAGCTGCATATACAAACCACAGCAAAAGTGCTAGTTAAAAAAGCTAAGGAGTATCTTCTGCTTGAAGAAAAAATATCTAAACATACATTGGCGCTAATAACCTGGTCGAATTACAGGATTGTAATTTTATAAACTTTTCTGCAATATCTGCAACTTAGCAGAAAACAGGACTGAGGGCTTGACTTTTCTATCTGATTTCTTAAGGAAATATAAGTTAGCAGAACGTCCTGTCTATCTATTAACCTGCAGATAAATTTTAACTAAACAAAGGCAAAATAGTGGTTGAAGATTTTAAGTTTCATGAAACTTTCATGATAATTTGGGTCAGAGTTTCTTTCTAGCTCCCCTGCCAAATTTTAAATAAACTGTTTACTTTCCATTAAAGTAGATCCCCAAGGTCTTTTTCACAGGGATAAAATGTGAGAGTAAGGAAATGAGATCTGCAATCCATATTCAGTTATTGCAAATTAAAAGAGTAAGGAGAAAAAAATCTTAATTCTTGTATTGCAGAAGCGCGTTCCTCACACCTGGTAACACCACATAACTAAAAGAGGAAGCTGTACTAAAAGTTGATATTAAAAAAAAACAAAATGAAACCCAAACCTCTCTTATTTAAAAACCATGCAAGTATCTCTTCAGGTGATGGCTGTTACTCATGCATACTCCAGAGACACCACCTAAGGAGAYTGCAACTGTGTCACAGAGAATTTTGCCTTTTGCATAAGGGCAGGTCAAATTCTGGAAGCATGGATTCCTGGAGACACACTGTCCTGCTGTATGGAAATATACAGAATAATTCTAGACTGGGGGTATTACTGAAAAACCTATGTACATTTTTTTTAACAGAAAAAAAATCTACATAGAAAATCTAAAAAGACCCATAAATAAATAAATAAAAATCAAAACAGATGGGGGTGAGCAGCCTCCAAATACATCTGATTTAGAACTCTGGTTGAAAAAAAACAGTAACACTGAAAGAGGCAAACTGAAGAACTGTTAAACGTGGTATCTGAATGAAAGCATTTGAGAAAAGATGAAAATAGAAGAGGAAAAGACTAGTCCTTTTAACAGAATGGGGCATTTTCAGGAAAAGAAGAGAGAGAAAGAAAAAGGCTTATCTCAAGTAGGATTTAAGCAACTCCAAAAAAGTTCTGTTCTAAATAGTAAGAAAATACCAGGACAAACGATTGCTTCACACAGAGATAACACAATTGTGTTCACCTTTCCAAGGGAGAATTCCTGTGTATTATACTCAATTTTTCCTTTCCTGGCAGTGTGCACATGCCTTTCTCATTTCTTCTATGGATGCTGTTTAGGTTAATCAACAAGGCAAATATTTAATTTATTGCATTTTATACTAGTCTAACTTTAGACAGTGCAAGTGAGCAGATCTCTCTCAACAGATGTTAAAAAAATCAGTGTTTAATGTCTTTATTATGTCAGTCTTCGCTAAGAAGATGGAGAGTGAGCAGATGGCTAGCACATTTAGCATAAATGAGACAGCAGCTCAAGTTCAAGCACTTATAGGTAAAGAACAGCCTACACAGTACTTAGGTGTCCTGAATATTTTCAGTTTAGCTCTGAATATTTTCAATTTAGCTGAGCTTAATGAATGCTATTCTAGGACACTTCCAAAACTAGTTAAAGCTATCCCAAAACTGCAAGCTCATCTTGGGCCTCCAAGTTCTGAAAATCTATAAAAAAATTAAGAATGTTTTAGAAAAAGTTGGTAAGGGACGATACGTATCATGTCACCTTGACATAGTAGAACAGAGTAGATGTCCTCCTGATGACCCTTCCAGATTTCTAAAATTCTGCAAATATCCGCATGTACTTGAATTACTGAACTCTGAGCACTCTAGAGGAATACTCTATTCAGTGCGTTCCTCCTTCCCCTCCAATACTCCTCAGGAGGACACCAGATTGGTCTCCAAGTTGTCACGGATGTCTSTCCACCTGTTGTCTGTCTTTGTATCCGGCTCTCACTGGGACTGTCAGAACAGCAGTGAACAGAACAGCAGTGTTTATATTGCTTCTGTCTTGTCTGTGTGACCAATCAAAATATGACCAGATACACTGTAAGGCAGACCAGGTTTGTATGTTTGACAAAGCACTTCCAAGAGATTCAGTAAGTTAGATAGTACTCTGCTTTATGATAAATCACTGAATGACAGAATGGCGCGGGTTGGAAGGAACCTCTGAAGATAACGTGGTCCAACTCCTCTGCTTAAGCAGGGTCACTTGGAGTACGTAGCACAGAATCACATCCAGGTGAATTTTGAGTATCTCCAGAGGAGACTCCACTGTCTCTCTGAGCAGCCTGTTCCAGTCCTCTGCCACCCTCATGGGTTTTCCTTTTTTCAGACAGAATTCCCTGTGCTTCAATTTGTGCCCATTGCCTCTTGTCCTGCCATCATGTACCACTAAAGTGACACCATCCTCTTGACACCCTCCCTTCAGATAGTTATATGCATTTATAAGATCCCCTCTCAGTCTTTTCTCTAGGCTAAACAGTTCCAGCTCTCTCAGCCTTTCCTCATATGAGGGATACTCCCCTTTCCTAATCATCTTCATTGCCCTCCGGTGAACTTGCTTCAGCAGTTCCATGTCTTTCTCGTACTGGGGAGCCCAGAACTGGACACAGTATTCCAGATGAGGCCTCACTAGGCCTGAGCAGGTAAGAAAGATCACTTCCCATGACCTGCTGGCAACACTCCTTCTTATGCACCCCAGAATACCATAGGCCTTCTTGGCCCCAAAGGCACATTGCTGGCTCATCGTTAACTTCTTGTCCCCCRGGGCTCCCTGGGTCTTCTCTGCAGAGCTGCACTCCTCCTAATATAACAGCCCATGTGATGGTGCTCAGGCGCTTCAGAGACGTAACAGAGCATCAGGTTTCCCAGGAAGGGTGAAAGCATATCCTCCAAAGTCATGTCCTATGTGTACTTCCTCCATGCAGGCTCCATGCACCTGCTTTAAGCAAACCCAGCTTGAGTTACTTTTGAGCTGACTACACTGTTTCTATAACTCTTTCTCCCATCCTTCCTAGTTTAAAGCTCCCTTTACCAAAGGGGACAACCTGCTGGTGGACTCCATCTCTCTCTACCAGTTCTTTATCTTCAAACAGGATCCCATGCTTGTAGAAATCAAAACCCAGTTGGCAACGCCAGTGGCATGGCCAGTTGTTACCTCAGAAAATCTATTCTATTCCTCCTCACATCCTTCTCCATCATTGGTAGGATTGAGGAAAAAATGACCAGGGCTCCTACAACCCTGACCACTATCCTTAGAGCTCTGAAATTCTGTTTGATGATTTCCAATTTGCCCTTGGTATCATTAATGCTTTAGAAGGACTTTGCCCTTCTATGAGAAGTGACCAGTTTCTACAGGGTTCTTCTACAAGGTCATTTGCCRTGAAACAGAACTCTCTGACACTTCTATTACTGTAGGAGGTTGGGACTCCTGGAGCTGTACAGTCTCCAAGAATATCCTTTCTCTCTCTCCTTTACCTTCTGGGATGCTCTGCAGCCTTCTGAAGAACTGACTGACAGCCCAGGCCCACAGAGAGTCCCCAAGCACTCCCTGCAGCCTGAGGCCTGTAGAGCTGTGTCTGCTGCCAGAAGGTCTGAGCTGAAGTCTCTGACACAGCTAACGCAGCAGCTCCAAAAGCTATCGGGGAATGTGCCCTGTGGTGTCTCAACTATATCTGAGTCCAAGTAGACACTACTGGGACTGGAAATTAAGGTACCTTCTTGTGCCCTTCTGTGCAAACTGCCATACAAGCTGCTGCATGTGTTCACTGCATCTATGAGTTGCAWTTTCAAACAAGAAGTTTTTAAAAAGCCCCTTTTGACTATGTACTTCCTTTGTTTGCATTGTCACATTTTAATCTATCTTTCTAAAAATAGTTTGTTAAGGTTTAATTTGTAACACTATTTTCTAATCTAAAAGCAGTAAAGTGTCTCTTAAAAGTTTTGGCTAATATTGATGCCACAGCAGTAAATGCCGGGAGAGGACAGCACTGCCCAGTTAAAATGCCACTTGTGKGTTTCTGTTTTCTAGTAAGAAATGGCACAACCATGAAAATTCTGTGCTTTTAAACAACATGAACTAAACAACACAAAGATCATTAAATACCAGAGTATCCTGAAGCAAGACAACAAAACTACAACTTAGATAAAACTACAACTTAGGTAAACATAAGCAATGATAAAATACTTGTCAGTGCAGCTCACCATTAGGCAGTCCCTCATACACCAAGAGGATTACACAGCTTAACATTAGCATACAAAGAGAATAATTACTTCATAACCAACATTGTTAGCAATACAGAAGAGAGCACCCAGTTTGAGGGTAAGGCCACCACCACGACTGTTGCTGCTATTGCGGGAAACAAGGAGAAAARGAGGAAGAAACTGCTGGCAGAAGCTCAAGTTTAGTTACTCCTTCTAAAGAACTTATCTCCCTATTTGTACTACAACAGTCTCTGGAAGCATTACTTAAGATTAGAATACCTAAGGACTGTTTTCTAAACACTGTAAGACAGTCCATTCCTTGGGGGAAAAAAAAAAAAGAAAAACAAAAACAACCTTTCCATTTTCATACAGAAGGAACCAGGAGAGGCAGGAAGCTTCAGCAGCCACCCCTCCCAAAGGAGAACAGCAAGTCAGCAAGAGAAACGCAACCTGAACATTCCTCTCCTTACACCCAGGTC